GGGGGGGGGGGGGGGGGGGGGGGGGGGGGGGGGGGCGGGCAGGGCGGGGGCCAGGGGGCTCCTGCCTGGACAAGGCAGCCTCACCCGGGCCCCCTGCTGGGTCAGAGAGGGGGTGTCCACCTGCCAGGGATGCGTGGGGGCTGGGGACCCGTGCAGGGTGGTACCTGACACCCCGAAACCCCTCAGCCGTGCCCACTGGGGTCTAGCCCAGAAGTCTGCATGGCTTTCATCCTCCCTCCCGCCCCCCAACTTCCTCTCCCCACCACCCCAAACCCCAGGTGCCCCCAAATCCAAACAGGCAGGATACCAGGCAAAGCACAGAACAGTAACGCTCCGAACTGCGCCAGCCTCCCCCCACCCCCCCTCTCTCCCCCTCCCGCCCCCTCAGTTGGCACTAGGGAGGGGGATGGTGGCACTTTTCATTTCTTTGTGGCTGTATTTTCGCTTCTGGCATTTTCCACATTGTCTGCATCGAATAGGCTCCTTTGTAGTCAGAAAGTAAGGTTTAAAAGGGCAGGGAGCACATCCATAAATACAGATCCGAAGGAGACCCCTTAGTCACCTGATTTCCACCTGGTTTCTTCCGGATGGAGCCCGCCGGCTACGGGTCCCCATCGGATGCAATGACACACACAAGGCAAGGCCTGGAAAAGCCTCCAAATTGCCTGTTGGTTTAATCATTTTCTGGCTTGTTCCAGCCCTGCAGCCCCGAGCAGGGAAGGTGTGAGCACAGGACACCCGGGGGCCACAGCGCCCTGGGGGCACCCGCGCCCTCGCAGGGCTCAGAGCCGGCGCCTCGCTTCAGCTGGTCCTTGGGGCCTCCCTGGGATGTCCTGGCAACAGCCCGCACCTTGCAGCTGCTTAGGAACCCTTGGGCCAAGGAGTCTGGGACCAGGGGCCTGAGCAGGGGGGAGGGTCGGGGGGTCGGCCAGGGTGAGCAACTCGCCAGCTCGCCCAGGACCTCCCTTGCGGTTTTAGCACTGAGACTCCTGCGTCCCTGGGAAACTGGGACAGTTTCCTGATCTACAGCAGGGGATTCGCTGGGTTGGGGGAGGGAAGGAGAGCCCCCATCCCTGTGGGCAGACACCAGCGGGCTGGCTTGGGGTGCCCTTAGGGCAAGGGTCAGAGAGCTGGCCAGACGTGGTGAGCAGGCCCCCCGGGGGCGAGGAGCCCGATTCCTGAACTGAGACCCAGGCTGGGAGAAGGAGCTGGGCCCTGGAGTCGGTCCGGCCCAGAGACAGCAGCTGCCGGGCCAGGATGTCCCAGCAGGGGGGAAAATGCGTCTGGAGGAGGGAGGGGGCTGCTTCAGGGTCAAGGAACCCTCAAGAACAAACCGGTCAGAGCCCGAAGGGCTGGGCCTGGCGGCCCCCGCACCTGGACTGACCTCTCCTCTCTGGCGTCCACAGCAGACATCGCAGCCAGTGACGGACCTCAGGATCCCGGAAGCAGAGGCCCCACGTGACCACTGATTCATCAACGTGCCTGTTGATTCCTTTGGAGATAAAATCCGTTTTGCGAAAGGAGCCCACCAGGCCGACAGAGGATAATCCTGACATCTTGGCTGGTGTGGGGGGGGGGGGGGGGGGGCATACCTTGGACCCAAATCATCAGTCGTAATGCGGGGACTTTAGCTTCCCACCTCTGCCGCCACCTTGTCCCTGAGGCCTGGGGACGGAGGGCAGAGGGGGTGCCATGGGCTGCACAGCAACCCCCACAAAGCCACGTCCTGTTAGAATCTCAGAACGTGGCCTTATTAGGAAACAGGGTCAGTGCAGGTGTAATTAAGGGAAGGATGAGCTGAAGTCATTGCGGATTAGGCTGCGCCCGAAATCCCACAGGAGTGCCTTAGAAGAGGCGGGGAGGAGAGGGGCACAGCAGGCCAGAGGAAGCAGGGCCTGGACACCTCGATCTTGGGCTTCTGGCTTCCAGGATTCGAGAGAACCGATTTCTGTTCTAATTAGGCTGCCTGGTGTGTGGTGCTTTGTGATGTGCAGAGGCGCCCTCCCCTCGCCTGCGGGGGTGTGCAGAGAAGCACCCTCCCAGGCCTTCAGGGGTGTGCAGAGATTCCCCCACAGAAGCCTCCTGAACCGTCTACCTGGGCCCATGCTCTCCAGAAAGTTCACTGGTACAAAATTATTATCAAATACAGACCAGTTCATAGGGTTCAATCTGAGAAGATGAACTTGAAAAAGAAATACTTCATTACCAGCAACACAGCGAGAGAAGCGGCTTGCAGTGCCGCCCCGTGGAAACCTTTCTTTTTAATATTTATTTAATTTTGAGAGAAGGAGAGACAAGTGCGAGCAGAGGGGAGGCAGAGAGGGAGACAGAATCCGAAACAGGCTCCAGGCTCTGAGCTGTCAGCAGAGCCCGACACGGGGCTAGAACTCACGAACTGCGAGATCACGACCTGAGCTGAAGTCGGACGCTCAACCAACTGAGCCCCCTGGGTGCCCCATGGAAACCTCCAAAGCCTCCCTAAATGATGAAATTAGGAGAACTCTGCCCTTCACCAGCAGGTGCTTCTAAATCCCCTGAAACCAGTTTCCCCATCAAGAGACTGAATGGTCCCAGCAACCTCAAGGTCATCTTCCTCTCAAAGGGCACCTGTGTCCCTGGGGTCAGGAAGAGAAAGAAAAAAACCCTTTCCAGGTTTGCATTTGGAACATTTATTTCAGGAAATACATTTTCAACACTTTGTTATTTATACAAAAAGACGAATTTCTCAGGAGGCACAGAGCGAAAGGCCACTGTGGGACGGAGCCCAGTGAAACACCATTTTTCAAAATCTGGCTACAGAGAAGGAAAGCAGAAAGCCACCCCAAGGCCGTGCCCCGCGCAGAGGCCGCCCCACGCCCCGGGGCCCCGACGCTGAAGGTGGAGGTTTCCTTCGAAATCGTGGATCTGGGTTTTTGGCAAAAACATGGCAAGTCGGCAAGTAAACGGTTTCACTAAGGGGTCCTTCCTATCTACGGTGGGGGGTGAATATGGGACATGGTGCGCGGGCGCGCGCGTGCACACACACACACACACACACACACACACACACACACACCTCTGCACAGCAATGTCCGCATTCCCCTTCCTCCTGCGACTTTTCTCATCGGCTGCAAGAAGCCAGCCTGGGGCATGCGGACAGACGTGTACCTCACCTGTGTCTCATCTCCTCGACCTGAGCCGGACCCCATGCTGGGATCTGCTGTGCGCGGCGCCTGCTGGTGGCCCCGTGGGGACAGGGTGAGGGGGCAGGGACAGCAGACACCAGCCGGGCCACCCTTGTGAAAACCTGTTCTGCAGCCTGATGATGGGCTGTGCACCTCTGACTCCTGTCCTCGGGGGGGGGGGGGGGGGGGGGGGGGGGGAGGATCTTTACGATGGGCTCCCAGGAGCCCAGGGACACTTAGGGCAACAAAAGCCTGGCCCCCACCTCTGGGGGTCATGGTGTCAGCAAGGCCCGGGGCAGGAGGGCTGGATGTGTATTGGGGTGACCACCCGCACGGAATTTAACCAGAGCCTCTTGGGCCAAAGAGGTGTCAAAACAGAAAGACACACACACACACACACACACACACACACTCTCTCTCTCTCTCTCTCTCTCTCTCTCCAGCCAGACGGGGCGGTGCAGGGCAAGGCCCGGGGACCACTCGGGCCTCTCTGCATGGGCCCAGCCTCGGCCTCCCTCAGCATCTCCACCAGATTCACTTGCTCGGGCCTTCTCAGACATTGTGAGGGTGCGCTGGGGGCGGGGGGGGTGCATCCTGTTCCTTCCTTTGAATGATCAGATCCTGGGGGGCTGGGGAGGGGACAATGGAGAGATGAAGACTCGTCTGTCTCTCCCCGACCTGCCCTGGGTTGCAGTGGAGGGACGGTTTGGGGGGGGGGGCGCAGCGCTGGCTCGTGGACGGCTGAGATAAAGGCACTTTCTGCTCCGGGACGGGCGGGCAGGGGGGTGGGCGGCCGCCAACGGGCCTCCCGGTGTCTAAGCAACTGGCAACTCGGGCCTCACAGAATTGACTATTCTGCCCTTGGGCGGGGTGAGGGTGAGGGTGAGGGCGAGGGCGAGGGGCTGTCTGACTTATGGCCTGGGCCGCGGAGGGAGGAGGGGGCAGGAAGGGTTTCCAGGTCACCAGGCCGGCGGCCGCACTCCGCCACCACGCACGGACCAGGACCTGGGCCTGGGGTGGGGGGTTGGGGTGAATCGGCGGGTCCTCGCCTGCTCCTCTTGGCTGCGGGGCAGCCCCCCCCGCTCCGGGCCCCACAGTCAGCAGCTAACGAGGAACCCGCTCGGGAGGGTACGCGTTACCTTGTTACTTGGCAGAGTGTAAAGGGGCGGAGACCGATGACAAATGGAGAAAATGATATAAAATAAAGTGGGGCATGTGGGCGGGGCTGGGGGTGGTGACGGAAAGGATGGGGGGTGGGGGGCAGGGTGGGTCTACATCTCCTGGGCTTCCGGCCCCTTCTCCTCGACGCCGTTGGACATGGCGCTGCTGCCCTCGTGCAGACGCCTCACCCGGTATGCTTCGAAGTGGATGGTGCTGGTGATATCCTTGATATTCTGCATGTGCGTCCTGGGGGGGCGGGGGGGGGGCACAGGCAGGTCACAGGGCAGGCCGTGGGGGCAGGGCGAGGGGGCGGGGACTGGTCCTGCACGGTCTGATCCAGGACTCCCCACTGCCTGCCCCACTAGGCTCTCCAAGCCCATCCAGGGCAGTTTCCATGGCAACCCAGACCCTCCGGGCACACGCGTGCTCTAATGCGTTTGTCTCTCTCCGTGTCAAGCCTGAGCCTGTGGCCAGTCCAGGGATGGGGCTGGGTGCACACTCAGCGGGGACAGGGCTGGCATGACCTTGCTGCCACCCAGAAGCACCAGGCCAGGGGCCGGTGGGGGACCGCAGGTCGGGGGGTGTGGCCCGAGCTGGAGGGCAGATCGACCCTACAGTCCTGCGCTCAGGTTCTCCTCCGCCCACAGCCCGACAGGAGAGACGGGAGGGGGGGTCAGAAGGGCTCACGGTAGCGGTCTTTCGCCGCCAGGCTCTCCAACGCGGTGGGGTCACTCCTGGAAGCCACGCCCCCACCCCTAACCTGTGGCCCCAAAAGCCACAGTGGGAGCCCCGCCCTCTCCAGTCTCCTGCCCAGGCCCAGGCCCAGCGCCCTCTCAGTGGGCCGAGGGGGCTACTCTGGGGCCAGGAGAAGCCTCTGCTAGGCCAGAGCGGTGGGGCCCGGGGGCCCTGGGATGGCAGCAGGGACACCACCCCGGTGCCCGGCACATAAGAACCCTCACCCTCCACCCCAGCCCTGAATCCAACGGGCTTCGGCAGCAGCGATCAGAACCTGGCCCTTCCCGTCCCTGGGATCTTATACAGATTAAGAAGGGTTTTTACTTCCTGCTTCACTTCCACGGAGCTGTTTTTGACAACGGGCTTCCAAGTTCCCCCTGGCGGAGGAGGCGCTAGCTGCTGGCCGGGACCCCCGCCTGCTCCCCATACAGTCCATGCTCCTGATTTAGGGCCTTCTGGGGGGTCTTCACGGGGTCAAGGCCAACACCCCACAGCCCCCTCTCACCTGATGAGGAGGTCCCGCAGGTAGGCAAACTCACAGTGGGTGGTGTTCTCAACTGAGGAGAAAAGACAAAAGGGGCTTTAGCGTCACTGGAAGCCCCTCCCCCAAGTAGACCCTGGTGCCCAGAGGAGGCTGGGCAGGTGGGCGCAGGGGCAGCTGGAAGGCACCGGGCTCCCCGGATGCCACTGTGGGGGGCCCGCCCGGGCCCCTGGCGGCCAGAGGGTCTGTCTAGCAGGGACACAGCACAGGAGCCCAGCTGGGCAGCGGCGGGGAGAGGGCTCCAGTAAGGCAGGCCGCTGCCCCTCTCTGGGGACCAGGGAGGTCTGGGGGAGGGCGGGAACCCCGGGGGAGGAGGGCGGGAACTGAGCAAGGCCGGAATTCAGGCTGGGACTTTAAAGAGGAAGTGGCCCACATGGGCCACTGGGCATCTTCCCACATGTGCACACAAGATGCAGAGGCACCTACCATGCGTCACCATTTACATCAAGCTCAGGACCAGCAAAGCTGAACCCCCACACTGCCCGGCGACACACAGAGGGGGAAGGCGGGGCAGGGGGGGCCTCTAGTTCCCCCCACCCCGGTGGCAGCTTGGGGCTGAAGCTGATGGACGGAGCTGCACGCAGGACGTGCGTGTGTAACGATCATGCACCAGCAGACCTTTCGGCGGAGCGGTGAGGGGCGCCGTCTGCACTGAGGGCGGGGGGCGCAGGGGTCAGCTGGAACGCCAGCAGGTGCCCAGCCTGCACATTTAACCCCATCTTCACACGCCCCGCGAGCTATGCTGTGGCTCCTCTGTGGGCACGAGTCTGTCCCGGTCCCCCACAAGCCGGCAGGCAGGACCAGGGCACAAAACCCCCAGGGGCCTCCCCCTTACCAAGCTTTCTGGATTTTATTCCCGTTGTCTCTTGCCTGGATTCTGCCCTCCTCCCCCTAACGTGCCCACACTAGAACCTTCTGGTGACGGACTCTCACGCAGCACTGCCACCTAATGTGGAGAAGCAGTGAGTGCTGGTGGGAAGGACAGAGCCCTGAAGTCAGGGATGTGAGCCTGTGGCAGCTGCTTCCTGGCTTGGGGAAGTTCTCTGGCCTCTCTGACCCTCAGTTTCCTCCTCTGTAAAGTGGGGATAAAATGTCACCCACCTCAGGGACACGAGAGGACTGGATGAGCTAACAGTGTGCTTTATTACACCCTCCTTCCTCCTGAGGACACTTCGGGCAGTTTCCGAGGATGGGTAAAATATCTCAGGAGGGCGAACGGCAAGTTGGAGGGAAGAGCAAAGAAACAGAACCAGGGATGGGGCAGACTGGGCAAGAACGAGGCGGAAGGGCTTAATCGCCACGCCTGCCGGGGGCGAGCACAGAGCGGCCAGTCCTCTGGGTGGTCACCAGCGCACAAAGTCGGGGAGGAAGAGGCCGTCAGTGTTCTGGAGGTTCTACAGTCAGAGATGAGGCACCAACTTCCTCCAGGTTCCTTGGGAAGGAGACTCACCCCCACCCCAGTCCTTACAAGGTGCTATGGGACCGTTTCCCAACAGTCTCAAGGTGAGCAGGTGCAGCCGCACACAGGTCCCGGAATACAGACTCGCGGACCCGGGAGCCGGAAGCAGGACCTGCCCCACAATTCCTGCAGCCCGAGCTGGCCACCAGGGGGCAGCAGAGGCGTGCCCATCACTGGGCTGCCCTCAACCCTCTGGGAGGGGAGGGGGTCCCCGCTGGCCTTTCTCGTCTGACACCTCACCACCCTCCAAAAGACATGCACCTGTGACAAAAGGATCCTAAGGGGCAACATTTCAGGATGAGAAGGGGCCGAGGCAGGACGAGCCCAGGCAAAGCCTGGCTGAGAGAGTGTCACGTGGGACATGGACGTGAGCGGCCCCCAGAGACACATCCGGGGTCCAGACCCTTAGGCGGGGGGCAGCTGCGCAAAGGCCGATCCGGCAGACGCCGGAGGACACCCAGGCAGAGGCTGGTTTAGAACACACCACCCTGCACCAAACCCGCCAGCACCCAGGGGGCGCCTGGGGAAGGGCTGCATGCCTCTCCCGGCCCCGCTCCCTGCCCCCCGCCCCCAGGCTTGGCGGCGCAGGGTGGACCGGTGGGTCCCACAGCCTGGGCCTCTCTGCAGGAGGGGCCGGGGACACCCCCGGGGGCTCTGAGCTCGCAGCACGACGACGAAGGCACAGTGCGCCCGCCGACCGGTGGTTTTCAGTGATCACTTTCTTAGAGCATTTGCTGCCCCTAAAGCTCCAAAGTCTTGGCGACATTTTCCTGTTTTACTAAAGTCTCGGCCCACGGTACTCACTTCAAGGATGGTGGAACTGAGGCCATAGGGGGTAAGGGGCTTGCCCACGTCACAGGGCGACAGGTGCGGGAATGGCTGATGCTGGGACCTCAGCCACGGGCTCCAGGAACAAGTGGCCCATTTCAGTCGGTCCTTTCTCCCTGCTCTGTTCTGAAGCACGAGGAGGGAACAGAGCGGATGGCGAAGAAATGCCCAGATACAGCCCACCTGGGGTGTTACCACCTGAGTGGGTTACACCGTGCCCCTCGTGGCCCCCCGAACCCCGCAGACACTTGTGAGTCAGAACTTAGCGGAAAGGGCATCTGAAGATGTAACTGGGGTAAAGAACCGAAGACGCGATCGCTTGGATTTCGGGCAACACTAGCAACGGCCAGGGGCCTTCTGAGAAGATGGAAAGACGGATATGGTCAGAGGGCTGGAGGCAGAGCAGAGACTGGGCACACCAAGGGACGCACAGGGTGGCTGGCAGCCACGGGAGGGAGGCCCTGGGCACGTCCTCCCTCAGGGCGTCTACAAGGAACCAGCCCTGCTGACATCCTTGACCCCTGACCTCCAGAGCCAGGAGTGAGTTTCTGTTTTAAGACGCCCCGTCTGTGCTAATTTGTTACAACCGTCCCGGGACTCTGAGATGTGGGGGTCCTGGGGACTTCAGCAAGGGGGGGCTGCCTGGTCCTTGGCGCTGGATGGAGCCAGAAGCCCAGGCAGGTGCCAGGCCAGAGAGGTGCAGCAGTTTGTCCAGGGGCACACAGCACACCTCTGAATCGGCAGCCCCAGGACCCAGAACTCCATGGGACCATAGATCCCTTCGTCTCTGGGCATCCCCCTGCCCTGTGGGCAATCGGGATGGAGGCGCGGCTCCATCAGTGAATGGCCAGGGGCCCTGGACCAGCCACTAGCTGCTCCCCCCTTCCCCTGAGACTGAGTGGGGCAAAGCAACAGATGCGGTCCCCAGAGCACAGAGCTCGGGCCTCGGTGCGCAAGCTTTAGGCCAGCAGGGGCAGCTTTGGTTTTCTGATTGGCCCGGAGGCCCCAGGCAGCGGCTTGGCCAGTACCTTCAATGGTGCCCCACTTGGTTTTCCTTCCGAGGATCCTCTTCCCGTTCACCTGGTACTCGTGGTCACTGCCCACCACCGCGAACGGGATCATCTCCTGTGGGGGGGATGGGCAGCACTGGTCACGTGTGTGTGCAGAGGTCAGTCCACCCCCGAGGCCCCTGGGGGGAGTGGCCCTGAGCCCGGGGCCCCCCACCACCTAGGCCCTTGGCCCGAGAGAGCCACATGCGAACACGTGGGCTCTGACCCGTTCCGGCCCAGAGACTACGTTCTCATGGCTCAAGGCCATCCCACCCATTTCCCCAGTCGCCCTGGACAGGCCTGGAAGACGCCGCCGTGTCCTTTGGCAGGAGCCGAGGGGCCCCTGGGAAGGGCATCAGGCCAGCACACCCACCCGGAACTTCTCGTTCACCAGCCGGTCTTCTGAGTCTTCATCGAACTCCTTCTGGGGGTACACGTCGATGCCATTGGACAGCAGGTCCGCGGTGATCTGGGGATCCGGAGGGGAGAGATGTGGGCGCCGTCCACACAGCGTGCTGGACTGACCCGCTAGTACCTGCCCACGCTGTGAGCTCCAGAAAGTGAGGAGCCCCGGCCTGGGGTCAAGGGCAGGAGACCCTGCCACTCCAGTTCTGGTGCCTCCTGAGTGGAGAGGGGCAGCTGCAGGCCTGCCTGCCAGGAGGGATGCGGTCGCTGCTCCCACGCGCCTCCCGTCTTCCCTCTCCAGCCCACCGCAGCCCGGAGACAGCAGCTCAGGGGTGCCGAGTCCTCCCTCGAGCTGCACCCGGACACCCTCTGTCGCTGCAGGTCCCGGGAGCTGCACGGGCCCTCCGCAGCTAGGGTGCACCCGGCTGTGCCCAAACCATCATCCCCTTTGCGGCTCCGGCCACTCACCGCACACGACATTCCAGCGCACAGCCGTCATTTCTGCCCTAAGCACAGACCACACCTGTCAGCAGCTTCAGGGGCTTTGGGGCTTTCCCCTCGCTCTCCCCAGCTGCGCACCCACAGCAGAGACCATCCCTCCCTAAGCATGCTGGGAAAGTCCCCAGCATCGGGGCCTGTGGAGCCAGTGGGATACACTGAAGGGCCCCCTGCTTGTGCCCACAGGGGTGGCGGCTCTGCGGGGCTCGGGCGCCTGTGTTCTCAGCTGGTTCTGACGCGGGACCCTGCGAGGAAATGGGGCCATGGCGGGGAAGACGCGGCCACCTGTCCCCGTGCAGGAGGCCACCCCTCTTGGACCTCCTTTTTCAAGAAAAGCCTGGCATGTGGTGTCTGATGCCCCCCTCCCCGCCCCACGGCGGCCTCAGTCCCCCACGAGGAGGGGGCTGGGGGCTGGAGGAAGGCGGAGCTACCTACCCGCTGTTTGAAGTAGATCCTCTCCTCCAGGGTCAGTGTGTCGGCCTTGGCGATGACGGGGACAATGTTCACTACTTTGCTGAGGCGCTTCATGAACTCGATGTCCAAGGGCCTGAGGCTGGAAGAGAAGGGCCCGGATGCGTGTTTGGCTGGCGGGGGCCGAAAGGACGGGCACAGGACGCGAGAGGTACGGCGGCCGGCTCCCAGGCGGGGACATGCCGACAAGGCCAAAGCCACAGGCTCAGTGCCAGCCGAGCCTCGAGTGAGGGACGGGGAAAAGGAAGAGGCCTCCCCTGATGCCGGACAGGAGCAGGCTGGGGAGGAGAGCAGCTCTGAGCATCGTCCTGGGCGAGGTGTCGTCCCAGAGAGGGGCGGCTGGGGCAGTCATTGCTCTGGTGGCCGTGGGGCTTCGCTCGGGAGGCAGAAACGGAGGAAGGACCCAGCAGCTCTGGGCTCACGCAGCCGGCTGCCATCCAGGGCAGAACCGCCCAGAACCTCACTCCCTGGCTCCAGCCTGCCACAGTCGGACATAAGCTCAGCTTTACCCTCCCCTCCCGCCCCCCGTCGCCCCTGACCAGACACCTGCTCTCGGCCAGCGTGGCGGCAGCTTCGCAGGGTCCCGAATGGCGGGCACATTCCCTCCCACCCTGGAACAGAGCAGCCACAGACAGGGCGTGGGGGTCTGAATTGGGACAGCAAAGAAACCCCCAATCTCACAGGACCGGGGGAGGGGGGCCGGGATGGGGGCCCGCGTGGGACGTACGAGTGGCCGGTGGCAGGGATGAAGTACAGGCAGCAGTGCACGCGTGTGTCTGGGATTCGCTTCTTCCGGTTAATGTTGACCTCCTCTTGCAGGTATTTCTCATACTGGTCGTTGATGAACTTCATGATAGGTTGCCAGCTGCATGAGAGGCTCCCGTCAGGGGGCACTGGTGCCTGCCCAGGCCCCGCCCAGGCCCCGCCCAGGCCCCCGCGGCAGGCCCCTAGTTCCCCGAATCCCAGCCCAGTAGGCCATCTTCTGGTACAAGGGCCAGGGGGTGCTGGGCTTTCTCAGCAGAGACCAAACCGGCCTCCACGCGGACCTGTGGCCGCAGGGGGTAGTGGAGGGAGGGCAAGACTCTCAGGATCTGGGGCCCCTGAGGGTGTAGCAGCCGCAGGCCAGGCCCAAGGACGGCGCTCCTCTCCCAGGAGGAGAGGCCCCGCAGGTCCTCACCAGTTCTCATTGTTGATGTGGTCCCCGAACCCTGGCGTGTCGATGACCGTCAGCTTCATGCGGACGCCCTTCTCCTCAATATCTGCACAGAATCACAGCGCCCACCGAGCTCAGGGGGAGACCCCGGACGCCTACAGATACCCCGTGGGTCCCGCCCACTAGGGACCTGACCTGTCCTACCCTGGGGCCTATATGGGCTGCCCAAGGGTGGTGACCAGTGGGGACACCCCAGGTGACGCCAGGGAGATGACAGCCTCCAGGGGCGGAGCCCAGCAGGGGCCAGCGACAGTCACCCTGGGAGGCCCCTGCCCACGGTATCTGGTGGGACACGCAGTTGTTTCCAAGGGAGGCTCCATCCGACGCAGGCCCGCAGTGGTCCCGGAGAGCATCCCTGACCCAGGCTTTCAACACGCCCGGCTCAGGGGACCCAACATCGACATCCCCGGACCCCCATGCTCACCGTGTGTGATGGACTTGATCTCAATGGTCTTGGGGATGCGCTCCTCCGAGGTGGGCTGCACGGACTTCCGGCTGATTTTGGATTTGAAGAGGGTGTTGATTAAGGTGGACTTTCCCAAGCCACTCTGCCCTGGGGAGAGGACAGGAGCCAATCAGCAGGGCCTGCTCCCCCAGCACTCCTCAGTGGGGGCCCCAGGTCAGGAGGAAGGGCCGAGGTGCCCAGATAGTGGCCTGGTGCCCATGGTGGGTGGCTCGTAGCAGAGCAGGGTCCCAGAGAACCAGCAGGAGTCATGATGCAGAATGGCACGGGGGGCAGGGGGACTAGCTGGGGGGCTGGGCCCCCCACTTCTGCTCTCTTCACACTTGGAGCCCCAGGACCGCAGGGCAGAGGCTCTGCAACCACGGCTACGCCACCCATGCTCCAGGGTTCTGGTCCAAGGACCCCAGGGCCCGGCTTCCATCTGGGTTGGAAGGGTGGCACGCTCAGCATACGGAGCCTGCAGCCGAGTGACCGCTGGGCTTGCTGAAAAGCCACTGGGTCGGCGGCTCCTAGGGCGGGGGTGGGGAGGGTGGGCAGACGATGGCAGCTGTGTCTCACTGCTGAGAGCAGAGACGGCCACGGGCCAGTGCCCACACAACAGACCCTGCAGCTGAGAGGCTGGCTGGCCGGGGAGCCCCCAGGGCATCCGGCTGCCCCCCCCATGTGGTTCCAGGCACCTGAGCCCCAGAAGCACTCCTGGCCTTGCTGTGTGTGCCTTGAGTCCCCTCTTACCGCAGCAGCGAAGACGGGGGAGGGGGCTGGAGACAGCGGTGGAGGGACGGTCCCTACTGCTCACAACTGGCAGAATCCAGGGCTGCCCTTGTTGCTGCTGCTGAGACCCCGAAGGTCCCGCTCACAGAGCCCTCGCTGGGCACTGGCGCCGTCCTAAGTGTGTCCGTGTAACCCTCAGCATCCCGCACCCGGTGCTGTCACCCTCCCATCTGATGAGAAGAAAACAGGCCCCGAGCCCAGCGTGGGGACCGGAACCAGCAGCCTGGCTCCAGGACCCCATTGTGACTGGGGGTTCCCACAGGGACCAGGCGCTGCTGCTTACAGGGTGCCTACTGAGCGCCCGGCACACCTCACAGGTGCGTGCGCACACAAGACCCACCCTTGGACCCCCATCACTTTATCCCTTCCCTGAGCTGCCTGAGGCCATGGTCACTAATATATTCAAAAAATTAAATTACACCAATTATCCGACTTTGATAATCTTGCAAGGAAAAGCGTGGGCTCCCAGGATGCTGGAGGCTGAGGTCAGGAATCCCTGGGCGAAGCTGTTCAGCAGGCCAGGGATCGGCCCTCCCGTCCATCTCCCCCACGGCCCACCTGTCTATGTCCCTGCCAAGCTCACATGCAGAGTGACATCAAACGTGCTGGCCATGGCGCCTGCATCTGGGAGATGCTGATGGGAACTTTACAGCTTAAACCAGGGCGCCTGGGTGGCTCAGTCGGTTGAGCATCCGACTTTGGCTCAGGTCATGATCCCACAGTTCATGAGTTCGAGCCCCATGTCGGGCTCTGTGCTGACGGCTCGGAGCCTGGAGCCTGCTTCGGGTTCTGTGTCTCCCTCTCTCTCTGACCCACCCCTGCTTGTGCTGTCTCTCTCTGTGTCTCAAAAATGAATAAACATTAAAACAATGTTTTTAATTAAAAAATAAGGTGGAAACCGTTATTACTAGTGTCACCATCACCGCTATTACTTCTCGAGCGTCCGTGACCACGTAGGGGCCACACGCGTTATTATTAACTGACTTGGTCCTCCCAGCTCTTTGGGGTCAGGATCATCCCATTTTATGGATGAGAAAAATTGAGGCAGGGAGAAGCCCTGGGGAAGACAGGAAGCACCATGCAGCTTAGTCGGGGCAAAGGTGGGATTCTTACCCTGGGTCTGCAGAGCCCCCAACAGATGCCCTCCCACCCCAGCTGTGTCTGGGTGGTGATGAGGGCCCTGCTGTGGGGGAAGGAGGAGTGGGGGGGAGGAACCGAGCTCCTCTCTGCCCTGTGAGCTGAGCCCTTGTGATGCCCTCTCTGGGCCTCATCGCTGCCTATAAAGCAGGGCACCCTCTCACAGGGTCTGCGGGGACTGAACAGGACCCAAGCAGCTTCGGGGAACCAGAGATCAGCCACTGCTGCACTAAGCCTGGCCCCTCCCCTAGTGACCATCGAGTTCTCGTGGGGCCACCAGGAAGCCACCAGGGCCTGCAGGGCATGTGGGGGGCAGCCCTACCCAGGGCTGAGCCTGGTGACGCTTTGCCAGGAGGTGGAGGCCACTGGTCGGAGACCCACTTCAGGAGCACCAGCCGGGGATCTCAGGTTCTTACAAGGAGGAGCCTGGGCCCCCCTGAGGCGTGGGTGAAGCTGGGCCCTCCTGGCAGGTACATGGACACACACACAACGCCACACGCGCCCTGCAGGCCGGGCGTGTCCACACCCATTCTGCAGGAGGGCAGACTGAGACCCGGAGCCCGAGGGGCCAGCCCGCAGTGCTGGGTCCCAGCGTGGGGCGCACGCTCACCGACCACCATGATGTTGAACTCGAAGCCCTGCTTCATGGCCTTCCTGCGCATCTGCTCCAGGATGGAGTCGATCCCCACATAGCCGAAGTCCGCGGGGGCCTTCTCGTTCCGGGGCGCGGGCGCCTGCTTCAGCCCGGAGTCTCTGGGGGTATCCGCCATGTCGCCAATGCAGCCGGGAGCTGCCTCAGGGGCTGCAGAGGGAAGAGTGGGGGTGTTGGGGGGTCATGCACAGCCATCTGCAAAGCACCTAACATCCTCCGGTGGTTCTGACCACCACGCTCGTTTCTCAGATGGGGAAACTGAGGCTCGGTTGCCCAAAAAGACCCGCAGAGCTAAAGACTCCCCCCTCCCCCCCCTACACAGGAGCCTGGAGCTGCAGAGCTCCACCCTCAGCTCCAGGATGGAGCTGACCTCAGCCCTCCTCTTCCCAGCCTCCACCCTTCCCCAGGGCACCCAGGTGGGCCCTCTCCACCTCCTTCTCTGACTCAAATAGGCCCCAACACCTGCTGTAGCCTGAGGACCCTTGCGGTCAGACAGTCAAGGGTTTGAGGCAAACTGTGAGCCAAAGGAGGGAACGAGCATCTGTGGTCCTCAGTCCTGTCACTCCCAGGCGACAGGTGTTCAGTCCCGGGTACTGCCAGCAGGCTGGACACAGAGCAGGCTCTCCCGGGGCCCCGTGGCAGCTCCCTGCCCCCCACCCCTAGACTAGGCCCGGGGGTGGGGGTCTTCTCCCTGCCCAGCACCTGTGTGCCCCCCCCCCCCCCAGAGGCCAGGACGAGGTCTACAGACGGGCAGATGGGACAGAGCTTCCAGAAAAAGCTCCAGCTTCTGCGGTTTGCAGGTCAGAACCTTCCTCCCTGCCCCCCCCTTCCTCTCCTGGCCGCCCTCAGGAGTCCCCCCACTCGGGTCAGAGGCCAGGAGAAGGGATGAGCAGAAGGCACCCAGGGGGGATGTGAGGGGCACTCACCCGGTGGAGCCGGTCCCCACCAGCGTGTGGCAGGAGCCCCTGGGCTGTGTCCCGGTGCAGCCCCCGACAAGCCGCACAGGCCCCTGACCACAGCTCTCCTCGGCCGGCCTCTGCGGGGCCAGGTTCTTCCCACCCCTCAACCCCCGTGGGGGGGGCTTCCAGCGCCATCCTACCTCCCAGGACGCCTCGCGGGTCTCCCGGCTCACCCCTAACTCACAGGGAGGAAGCACACTGCCTGTTGCGACCTGTCCCTTGGGCCCCGGGCCCTGGGAAGCAGCACAACACAGGCTGCCAAGGCCAGAAGGTCACCGCGGGGGCTTCGGGGGAACGGTTTCCACTTCCTGGGGAAGTGCCCGGACTCTCCCCTTCCACCCCCGCCTCCACACCCCAGTGGCCCCAGCCGGCTCGCACCTCGGCGGCCACACCTCTGCTTTACAGGGGTGTCAGCGGGAGCCGACATGGGGTGGGGGTGCCCGGCACACTTCTCTTCCATAACAAGGATGATCAGCTCACAAATTCCAGAACCGGGAGTGTGGGTGGCTTATCCACAGTCGCTCAACTTCCCCGTTTCACCAGCCACACCAAGCCTGGTGATTCCCACCACGTGTGGGATGGGGAGCCAGCAAACAACAGCACCCGGAAGACGGCCCGGGCCACGCTGCCCGCCCCGCCCCCTGGGCCGGGGGACCCAGGAGCCTGGTGAGGACAGGGGCCCTCCCAGCGGCGCCCGGAAGGCATCTGCCTCTCAGCTCCCTCTTCAGAAACTGTCCCTGCGCTCCAGCATCTTTAAATAAACAAAGACAAGAGCTGCGTCTGGCCTTGAACGTGAGGCTGTGGGGCTGCTTCCTGGAGACAGACTTGGGGCCCCGCCCCACGTGACCGAAAATTGCTTCCATGTGCCTGAGGGGCCAGGAGCCCTTCCTTTCAGGCCTGCCCAACCCCCCCACGCCTGCCTCCGAGCTGCACGGGGGTGGGGGGGTGGGGGTGGGGTAAGGCCGCGCCCCTTGAACCCCACGCAGCTCCCTTCTGCTGGCCCCTCCACAGGCACCGACATCCACTGCAGAAACTCAGCACAAAGCAAACATCCCGCCCACCAGGGCCTGTTTGAGAAATAATAAGACACGCCAAGCCCCATCCTTCCCACCGATGGAGGGAAGGGTCTGGCCTGCGCACAGCTGAGGGGCCAGTCCCGCCGGCCCCTCCTCTCTGGGAGGCCCCTTGTGGGCCACCCCAGGTGGGCCTGCCCCGATCCGCAGGCTGGGGCACGGTGGTGCCCCCATCTCCTACAGCGCCATCCATGACGACTTCCGGGATGGAAGATTCTATGCCTGCACCGTCTATCCCGGGAGCCACCCGGGACTATTGTTTTAACTGTGGTAAAATACATGTGACATAAAATTTACCATCAGTCATTTTTTTCTAAACAGACGGTTCGGCGCCGTTAAGTACATTCTCGTTGCTGCGCACCCGGATCCGGAGATCTCCGGAACACTTTCCGATCTCGCAAAACTGAAACTCTCCCGTTAAACGCGGACTCCCTACCCCCAACCCAGACCCTGGCTGCCTCCATCCTATGTCCGTGAATGTGGCTACAGTAGGGTCCCCCCACACACATATAAAGAGGAATCTAGGGGGCGGGCTGATTTCCCTTAACATAATGTCCCCAAGGTTCACTCATACCGTAATAGGTGTCAGATCTCCTTCCTTTTGTTTTTTTTTTTTAAGTCATTTACCGAAAGAGAGAGAGAGACAGAGCATGTGCATAAGCAGGAGAGGGGCAGCCAGAAGGAGAGACAGAATCCCAAGCAAGCTCTGCACTATGAACCCAGAACCCGACGCAGGGCTCGAACCCACGAACCGTGAGATCACCACCTGAGCTGAAATCAGACGCTTAGCCGGCCGAGCCGCCCACGCACCTGGGATCTCCTTCCTTTTTAAGGCTAAGAGTCCCTGGTGTGGCTACACATCCTGACCCCTTGGTGGCCCCCCCCAGGTGTTTCTACGATTCAGCCCTTGTGGAGAACACCGCTACGAGCACAGGGGCGCAAACATCGGGGCCCCTTCGAGGGCTGGGTGCACCCCGAAGTGGGGCGGCCATGTCACGTGACAGTAGTAGTGTTAATTTTCTGAGGACCCGCCCACTGTTTTCACATGTGACTTCTGAGCACTTGAAATGTGCCAGAAGGCCAACCGAGGAACTGAATTTTAAAATTTTATTTAAATTTTAATTAATTTAAATGTAAAAAGCTACCATGTGGCAAATGGTAACAATGCTGGACGACACAGAATTCTAGTCCAACCGACTCCTTTCACAAATGGGGAAACTGAGGTCCCCAGAGTGACTTTAGGGACCTCTGCCCGGGGCCCGGGCCTCATTCTCTTTCCTGTGGCCCCATCACCTGAACCTCTGTTTCATACCCAAACCTCATGAGATGCTTTAACAGGAAAGGGGAGTTCTTCACAGATCATTAAGTTTCACATCTGTGTCCCAGATGACACTCCCTGCGCCCTCGTGAGCTAAAGGGAGCCCCATTTTTTAAAAGTAGAAAAGTCAGGTTCAGAGGGGTTAAGGAACGTACTCAAGGTCACACAGCACCCACCTGCCTTTTCTCATTGTTCCTGGCTGCCTCGTGGGGGGAGGAGGCGATGCAGAGAGAGGGCAAGCTGTGATGCCCTCCTCAGGCTGGGTCTCTCCCCTCCTCAGAGGATGGAAGGCTCCCTGGGGCAGCCTCACCCTGTTCCGGGCAGCATCGGATCAACAGCTCTCCCCCAGGCTCCCAGGCCCAGGGCCCACTGCTCTCCAAGCCATCGAACTCTCCGATGGAAGGAAGGCCCGAGCGCCCCCGGCTGAGGTGACCCTACACACTGGCTTACACTCTCCTCCAGCCTGATCACTTCCTTTGCTGTGGTGACACACATGGGACATAAAGCTCTGACCATTTAAGCCACGTTTCGGTGTCTGGTTCGGTGGCATTAGGGACCTTCACGGTGACACCCGCCCGTCACCAGCACCCGGCCACGGAACATTTTCACCGTCGTGATGGAAACACGGTGCCCACCGAGCAGCAGCGCCCACCCCGCGCCCCCAGTAGCCTCTGGTGGACTTTCTGACCCTGTGAACTCGACTCCTCCGGGGACCGTCCGGCTTCGTTCATGGACGGAGCAGGTGCGAGACCTTCCTTCCCTTCTCCGTCTGAATAACACTCTGTTTGTCCATTCATCCGTCAACGCGCCCTTGCCTGTTTCCCCGTTTGGGCTGCTGTGAAAGGCGCTGCTCTGATCCCGGCTGTCCAAGGATTTGAGTCCCTGCTTCGGATTCTTTCGGGCATCCAGCCTCACCGGCAACAGAAGTCAGCCGACGCTCAGCAAGGCTGGGGTCCGGACAAGAGCCGCCTCGGCCATCCTGCTGCCAAGGGAGGCGTGGGGCTTCTCTGCAGACCCCTCGGTAGGCGCCAGGGGCTCGGGTTCAGGCCCCGGCTCCACGTGGCCCAGGCCAGGGGCCCCCACCCTGCCCACCTGGGAAAACGGGGCCCCTGCCTCTGCTCTCCACTCGGAGTGCCCCCTGACCCTGACACCCCTAACTCCTAACCCAGAGAGCGGCACTCTAGAAATATGCAAAACACCCACCAGGACATGGATGGATAAATGACACGTGAAACATCAACGGCACCTGAACTACCCAAGGTCGTGATGTCCCACCACCTGCTATGACACGGATGACCCTTGAAAACGTCACACCCCGTGAAAGAAGCCAGTCGCAAAAGGTCACGTATATATGATTCCGTTTATGCGACACGTCCAGAATCGGACAAATCCACGAAGGCAGGGAGCGGACACACCCCGCAGGGGCCGGGGGAGGGAGAGGGATTGCTATGGTGCAGAGGCTTCCTTTCAGGGTGATGAAAATGTTCTAGAAGCAGACAGAGATGACAACGCCAGAAACACATGCCACTCCACTGGATGGGACACTAAGTGGGCGGCCGGATGGCGGGGGACGGCGATCTCAATAAAGCTGTCATATCCAGAACGGAAAGCACTGGCTCTCAGTGGAGCCGGTTCCAAAGAGCCCTGCTGGGCCCGTGAGTGGCCGCCAGCCATCTCCACAGGGCAGTGGGCAGCTGAGGCCCGGGTGCCAGGCTCAGGCCCGAGGCCTGCAGCCCCAGGACGGCCGGGTAGCGCCCCCGGGACCCTGCATCTCCCAGGAAGGGCGATTCTGGGAGAGGC